GAAGATACTGTAGCGAGCGGTGGTCTGTCCGTACTGTCACGTCGGCGCCAGTCAGGTAACATCGCCAAACTTTGAACGCGTGCACGATCGCTAGCATCTCGCGGTCGTGTATCGGGTAGTTACGCTCGGGCGGGTGTAACTTGCGGGACTCGTACGCGATTAGCTGGAGGCCGTTCCCGAAATCCTGCAACAGTACTGCTCCCACAGCGATGTCACTTGCGTCGGTGACGAGCTCGAACGGACGGTGGGGATCTGCAATGTGAAGGACGGGCGGGGAGCACAAAATATTTTTGAGGGCCGAGAAGGCAGCTTGCTCTTTCTCCCCCCACGTGTACTCAACCCCCTTCCTCAGCAGGTCAGTCAACGGGGCAGTCAGCTTCGCCATGTCGGGGACGAACCGGCGCACGTAGTTGACGAACCCCAGGAAACTCTGCAACTCAGTCAAGTTGGTCGGCGCGTGCCAAGCCTGAATCGTCGCAATTTTCTTCGGGTCTATTTCCACTCCTGCAGCTGAAATAACATGTCCCAAAAACTCCAGGCGGTCCTGTAAAAACTCACACTTAGATGCTTTGGTCAGTAGGCGGTTCTCACTCAGGATTTTAAAAACTGCTTCGATGTCTTGTAAGTGCTGTGCTCTGTCAGGGCTGTAAATCAGTATGTCGTCCAGATAAACGATGACGCACTTATCTAAAAGCGGGCGGAATGCTTCGTTCATGGTCATTTGGAAAGTGGCGGGGGCGTTGGTCAGTCCGAATGGCATGACGGTGTATTCGAAGGATCCGTAGCGTGTTCGGAATGCGGTTTTAGGGCAGTCGGGTGGGTTGACGCGGATTTGGTGGTAGCCTCCTCGGAGGTCGATTTTCGAGAAAACCCGGGCTGTGCGCAGTTGGTCGATCAGTTCGTCGGCTCGTGGGATGGGGTAACGGGATTTGATGGTAACCCTGTTCAGTGCCCTGTAGTCGATGCACATGCGAAAACCCCCGTCCTTTTTCGGTGTGAACAGTATTGGTGCGGCGAAGGGCGACGAACTAGGGCGAATGAATTCCTTTTCGAGCAGGTAATCGAGCTGCTTCCTTAGTTCGTCTAGTTCGGGTTGGGTCAGTCGGAACTGTCGCTTTACTGTTGGCTGTGCCCCCGGTTCCAGTTCTATCCTGTGATCGTGCAATCGCTGAGGTGGCAGTCCCGTCGGTAAGTCATCCGGGAAAATGTCACTGTACTGTTTTAACAGTGCCGCCAGGTCACTCGGTACGTCGGTCAGCAGTTTCTGTAAATCGCCCCCCTTGTCTGCTGCCTCGGCTTCCCGAATGTCAACCGCGTACATGTCAGCTCCGGCCGCTACAGCGCGTTTCATCGTGATCGCGTTGACACGCACCGACGAAGACTCAGGCGAGCCCCAGCGAGGTAAGGCGATGTTGTTACCGTTTACTCGCACGGTGCAGTCACCCGTTGTCCAGTCAATTCGCGGATTGTGTCGTCGCAGCCAATCACGCCCGAGTAAAATGTCGGTTCCGTCGAGGGTCGTTGCGAGCATTTCCTGACTAAACGTGAAGTTACCCCCGCATCGAATCCGAACTCGGTCTACGCGTTCCCGTATTGCCAGCGGCGTGCCGTCTACCAGTCGTGCGTCGATCTCAGGTAAGCATCGGTCCAGTGGCAGTCGCAGTTTGCGTGCTGTAGCAGTGTTAATGAGGCTGTGGCTGGCTCCCCCGTCTACGAAGATTTTAACTAAGTCCGTCCCAATTTTCCCACTGAGCAGTATAGGGCTATCTACCGTGGTACCCTCCTTATTCGGCCGGGTGTGGTCGATTGCGTGAACCGGCACAATCACTCGGTGAGGGTCGGTTGGGTCGGGCGAGCGGCGTGACCTGTCAGTAGAGGGCCCGTCTGCTACTGACTTCCAGCGTTTCCCTGCTGCTTGGTCTGTGTCTGCTGCTCAGCTTCCCCCTTTCCCTTAGCGTTTTCCGGGCATTCGCTCTTGCGATGTCCCGGCCGATTGCACGCAAAGCAGCGCCCTTTGAACGGTGCGGCAGCGGCATTTGCGGCGACGGCGCGTATCGTGGCGCTCTCGTTCGTCCCACGAGGCCGATGTCCCCAGGTGTTGTTTCCGTAGGACCCCGGTCTCGGTCGGCGAAAGAAGTCGAGCTTCTCCGCCATAGCGAGAATTTCCTGAAACTCAGTGACGCCGCGAAGCTGGATTTCCTGAGCGATGTCCTGCTTCAGGCCGCCGATGTAGCGGTCGATGCGTTCGCTCTCATGCATGTAGCCCACCTGCTCGCATAGCGCCAAAAATCCGCTCGTGTAATCCGGGACGGAACCGAGTTGGCGCCAAGTGCGGAGCTTCTGTCGCGCCGAGATCGAGGCCGCGATTGGCTCAAATCGAGCGCGCAGACCTGCGCACCACGCGTCCCACGTGCGATACTGGGGCACCTCCACGAAATACGACGGCGCCCAGGGTCCGGTTTGTCCTTCCCGTGTCGGTAGTGTCGCGTAGTCGGTCGGCTTCGTGACGATGACGCGCCACCAGTCCATGGCGGGTCCTCGCAGCAACGACACGGCGTATCGAATCTTCGCCGAGTCCTCCGAGACGTAGTTGGCGTCGAAGAAGACGTTCATTGTGAACAACCACGCCTGAACGGTAGGACCACCCCGTTGACTCGGGTCAAAGCATGGCGGGCGCTGCGGCTTCAGCGGCATCGGTGACGGCAGTCCCGAATCGTGGGTTGGTGCCGAAATCGTGACGCGAGGCTGACTTGGGGCCGCATGCGTCGCTCTGGGGTGTGTCGTGCCGTGGTCGTCGTCTCCGTCGGGGCGGACGACGCCATCACTGGCCGCGCTCGCGGGTTGCCCCACACTCCCGTGTTGTGATGTTGAGGGTGCGGGTTGAATCGGAGTGCCAGGTGCTTGAGATTGTGCTCTCAGGAGGTCGTTTTGCAGTGATGAGCGTTCTGCCGTCAATGCCGCGATTTCCTCGGAGCTTTCGTGCAGTTGTCGCAGCAGATCGTTCAAACGCTCCTGCGTGAGAGTGGTGACGTCGATGTTTTCGGCCATGACGAAGGGCGTCGGCTCGTCTTAGTCTAGGCGCAGTCGTGGCTGCACGCGTTTACGAGAGAACGCGAGGACAGCGGCTCCTAGGGGCTAAGGTGCGTGAGTCCCTTCGAGTGAAAAATCAAAAGTTGATTTCCTGGTGTGCGGAGATGCGCGGTCCGAAAGAAAGGGGCTCTGATAACCAAGTGTTACGGGTGCAATGAATCGAGGTAGCGAGAATTGCACTAAGGTGTCAAACGAGTACAAAATGTGAGCGAAGGCATGAGCGAACATTTATACGCGAAACATGCAAAACGGCAACGCGGTGCGTGCGAGCTTGCAAGTGCTACGCTGGAGCGAGGCTCGGGCTAGTCCCGAAGCGTAGGCCGATACGGCCATGCCAGCAGTGCGAGGTTTGGTAAAACAGTGCGCGCGAAGTCGGCGAAGTTCCGTTAGCAGTAACGGGCGAACAATCGGCTGTTGCTGTACGCGATGTAGTCGGCTCCGTAAGGAATGCCGAGAAAATTCCTTACAACAACCTTCATGAAACAATGTGCAGCACAAACCTTTGTCGCGCTGGCAAGACAGGCACGACCGGATGGACTTTCACTAGCTGTGTACAGTGACGAGATCGCCATGTTCTGCAGGTTCCGCGCATTCGCGCGTCCCCCCTCCTGACCAACGGGGCATAATTTCGGGTGAATCAGGTGGATCCGGGCACACATCTAGACCGTCAGATGTTACATGTGGCTGTCAGACCGTCGGATCATTTCCGATAACCCAGGCATAAAAACGTTCTCTCCGGCACGTCGAACAGATCGGGAAACTCCGCCATTTTTCCGCCCACAGCGGCACTCGTTCCGCTCCCCGCAACTTCACCCTCCTTTCTGCGCCATCCTTCCCCTCAAACCGTCTTTCCACCTCCCCCACCAACTTCCGCTGCAGCAGCGGCGCTGTTCCGCAAGAGAATGGTCGAATGCACCAGCAACAGCAGGAGTTGGGCAGGACCTGGACTGGTTGAGGGCATATCAACCAGAGAGAGCCAGACTAGGGTTTCAATTTTGAGTTAGGAACGTCATCTTCATAGTGTTGATTAGGTTTGTTAGGAAAAGGGCGAAGAGGCGAAAGGCGTTTTTCACGAGTTCTGGGCCTGACAGGCCCAAGCGTTGGCGAGTAAAGCTCTCACAGCTTGTTACCTACACCGTTTCAGGGCGATATGTATTGGTGTGCTTAGCTTCTACCTCCTCTTTATATATGAGGAGGATGGTATCTCGTGGGAAAATGAAGATGGCATAACAGTCATTTGTGGGGTGCTGGTGCTGTGTGCACGCAGCGTATTGTTGCAGCTGCTGGCAAGGCGTCTTACCATGGCTGCAATGGCCGGTTTTGCGGCTGGTTCTACGGGTCTCTCGTGTTGCATGCAGCGGTTGTCTGTGGGAGGGGTTTCGTTGTCGTCGGAAGGGGCTGGTGGTATCAATTCGTCGAAGTCGCGGAAATTTGCATTTTCTAACGCTCCGTGCCTCCAAGCTTTCGTGGCGAAATCTATTCGGGTTCACCTCTCCTGCCGTAAGGAGGGAGAGGTAGCCACGATGGGTCTTCGCGCGTCAGCCATGAGAAAAGGAGCACAAGGGAGTGCAAGTGTATCATACAGCAATGAAGGCGGAGTCAATGAAATAAATGGAATCAATAATTCTGGCAGCAATTTCTGGGGTAACATCTGGCAGGCTAGGGCGTTTCTGTGCTCCTCGTTGAACGGAAAAGCCGCTTTGGAGTCCTGTGGGCCTGTCCGGGCTTCTGAGGCGGCTTCGCTGTCCAGCGAAGTGCGATATTACGACAGCCAGGTTACCAACAGCCTTGACTTCGCAGGCTTGAAGGATTCGGCGAAGAATTCGGTTGCCAGTCGGCAATTTATGTGGTTACCCGAGTGGCTTCCGCTGTCGGCGGAGGAGGCCAAAGCGGTGTTGGCGACGCTTGCGATGTCCCTGATCTTTCGCTTCGTCGCCGAACTGCGGTTCATTCCGTCGCTCTCCATGTACCCCACGCTTGACGTGGGGGACCGAATCGTCGCAGAAAAGGTAAGCCAACCTGTTTCGGTTTTTTTCAAACATATCGTGCAATTCGTGTTCACGAGTTAATTTATACAGCGATTAATCTGGCATCGACTCCCCTTCCCCCATCAATGAGCAGGTTTCATACTATTTCAGGAAGCCTGAGGTCGACGATGTGGTCATCTTCAAGGCGCCCAAGGCCCTGAAGGTAGATAAGTTTTCCTCTCTGACTCCCCTAGTATTCTTCTCCCTCTTGACGATGTCTCATTGGTGCTCGCCGTCCCTGTTGCTCACTGTATCTGAAACTCGCATTGTTACACTATTTTATGTGTGCCATGTGCGTTGTTGAAACGCGCAGAAGCATGGCTACAGTGAGGGAGAGGTGTTTGTGAAGCGAATTGTTGCCACTGAAGGAGACTTGGTGGAGGTGAAGGGGGGGCAGCTGTTCGTGAATGGCGTTGAGAAGGACGAGGATTACATATTGGAACAGCCTACCTACAACATGGAGACCCAGGTATGTCCGTCAACAGTTGCTGTTTGGGTTGTGTACAGGGTTTGCCTTGGGTGCCGGAATTGTCCATACCTGGTATCATTTGAAATTGTTCCGTTGTTTTGCTGCATGTTTCTTTACTCAACTTTTTTATCTCCTTGCCTGGTCTGATATGTGCAGTACATTCCATCTGGCCACGTCTTCGTCATGGGCGACAATCGCAACAACAGCTTCGATTCTCACACATGGTATGTGTTCGTACATTGGAATTGCTTTACACATGGTGTATCCTTGGCTCTGATAGCTGCAGCTTGCACTGGCCTTTGTGGTGATGGTAGCCTGACTTGAGCCTGGCACTGATGGTGTTTTGCAGGGGGCCTTTGGCTGTGAAAAACATTGTTGCTAGGTCTGTCTTTATTTACTGAATGGATTGTTTGATGGAATGGGATGGGTGGAAATGGTAGTTGAATATATATTGTAAATATCTGCATTTGTCGGTAGCATTGATTCACCGGCCAGCACCAAGAATTTTGTTTAATTAATCCCATGTGGCTTCGGTAGGTAGTGTTTGTTGATCCCTTTTTCATACAGAGGAGTTTTTCTTCAGTTGCACAGCAGGACGATCATATGAGGAGCACTAGCGATAATGACAAATGTAGTACGGTAGTATATGGTGGTTACTACCGTATTGTGTTCTCACCGTAAGGAGTGGTGCAAAAGCTGTGCTAGTATGTGTACTAACGAATCTTGCTGGTTGTGGTCGGCCTCGCTTATGCCTCATCCTGTTCTGGTGGCCACGTCATTCCACTTTTTTCGTGGCCAAACGACAGTTCGGGTGGGGCAATCCCTTCGACCGAGGAGAAAGCTGACACTGCAGCGCCGCCAATTGGTCCTTACACCTCGAGCTTCGCGACTCAGTTGTTGGGGTCGTTCTATTGGGCCACGTGAATCTTCGCGACCTCTCTTCAGAGAGTCGTATGCGGCGCCAGCTGGGCCCGTGCGACCAGTGATCAGAAACTCGCTTGCGTGTCGTGCCGCGTCATCGAGTCGTCCTCCCGCAGAACCCCCAAGGGCAACGTGCGACTGGTGGATCCATTTCCCAAGGTCTTCGCTTGCCCCAAATCATCTGTATCGCTATCCTCGGTTTGGGATAGCGACGCTATCCTCTTTGTCGCTCACCTCGATTTCCCCGCACCTCCACGTCGCACGGATCGCTCCAAGTTCGCAGCATCACTCACCTTGCGACCCGATATTTCAGGGCGGGTCCAGCGCGTACGTTTACAGGTCCTTTACAGTTCATTCGTAGTGGTTTGAAAAGATATCAAGCGGTGCACAATGGTTTTGAATTTGCACCGTTTTGAACCGTGACGCAAGACAGATTATCGCACTGGATGAACTGTATTGTACGGAAAACGTACGCGCTGGACCCGCCCTCAGGGCAGTTCTCTCGCTGACACCCATCCAGCCCAAGGGTCCACTCCACTCCACTGATGAAAGTGGTTTCACGGGATTCAAGTTTGTTTTTCCGATAAACGGTTGTTTAGCTTAATGAGTGGTTGGGTAGGGTCTTGCAAGATGTCCAGTTCCGTCATCAACCCAATTCATCAACTCACTCTCATACCTTCCTGTCAACCCCAAGGTCCTACAAAATCTCTCTCCCAAGCTTCTTCAAACTTCTCTTTTGCAGAGTCTGGTATACTCCTACAGGTTCTCCACTTTCCTCTTGGGATTCGTAGGAAGTGCCTTGCCTGCTTCACCTCGTAGCGCGTAAGGCGTCGAAAGCAGCGTCCAGTGATTTCGACAGAAGCAGCACAGCCATTCTCACGGCAGACGCTTCTCCTCGTACCTACTAAGCCTCCAGTTTCCACTGAGTCTTTCCAGTTTCGACCTTAGCATTTGACTGGGTGCAAGTGCTAACTTATATGGGCAAGCGAGGGTCTGTCTATAACTAGGCAATCACAGAACGTGGTTCGTGGGGGTGGCTCGCATCTCGAAGCTTCATCCTCGATACAAGTTCGCTGGAGGTGGCTGCGGGAAGTTGTGGTTGAGTCTGTGTGCCTGCTGACGTCCATTGTGCCGCTAGTCGTCTGCTCTACTGACGTCATTCTCACTGAGTTCACGCCGACAGCTGCATTTGCCATTTGGGAGGGAAACGCGAGATTCCCAGCATGGCGTCAGCGATCAGCCGCACGCTCAGCGGATGCGCAGTCGCTCAGTCTGCCACGTCATTCTCTGCCACGTCATGTTCTGCCACGTCAGCCTCCGCTGACGGCAGAGCGTACAGCTGCGCGTGCCAGCAGCTCGCTCGACGCGCGAGGAGCACTTCCTCTTCACAAGTCGGAATCTCGTCATTTAAGCGAGGAAACATCGGCTCTTCTCTTCTCCTAAGCGGCACGTCGCTTGGCCACAGCAGCACCTTGTCGCGGCGATACGTTTCGCGAAGACATCCCGCGGTTACCACTACAGCGACCAGCCCTGAAACTGTAACTGTTACAGCTGTTGACTCCGCCACCACCACTGAGGGAAATGCTTCCGACTCTTCCGCGGATGCTTCCGCTTCCCCGCTGTCTTCCGCTTCCCCAGAGCCCCCGCAGCTCTCCAAGCCCGTTCTCGTGCGCCCCGCGCCAGCGCAGCCGCCCGCTAGGCCCGCTGCGCCCGCCGCCGGCGCGCGTGGCGGAGCGAGGTCGTGGGTACCGAGGCCCGGAGTAGCGGGGGCCCGACCGAACGGGGGTGTTGCTGCGAGCGGGAAGAGTGTTTTTAGGCCGAGGGACCGCGCCGCGCGCGCCCCGGGTCCGGACAGCGCGGGTGTGGCGGCGGTGCAGAATCTAAAGGAAATTCTGGAGAAGGCGGAGCGGATGGGAAATGGCGGAATCGCGGGGGGAGCGGACGGCGGTCTCGCGCTTAATGGATCATCCGCGGGAGCAGCGGAGAGCGCGGGGGGGGAAGAGGGTGGTTCGGGTTCTGACGTGGAAGAGATTGTACTCGTGCGCAAGGAGACGCCTAACGAGGCAGCTAGTAACGCATCAGAGGATTCTGAGTCGAGCGCCAGCGCGGCTCCGCCAAGCGCGGGTTTCGAAGATCCCGAGCCTCCAACGGTGGTTCGGCCCAAGCCGGTCAGGGTAGACAGGCCGAAGTTTGATCGACCTGTGGCGTCGTTCAGCCGCCCCACCCCGCCTGCGCAGCCGGCTCCGGCGCGGCCGGGCGTGTACGTGCGCGGACAAGCGCCCGCCGCCAGCGCAGACGGAACGAGCGCAAGGGAGAAGCTGGCGTGGAAGCCCAAGGGTTCCGCCGACGCCTCATCTTCCGACGATGAGCGCGCTTCCGCCGCGGGCGCGGCAGGAGCCCCGCGCAGGGGCCCCATTTTGCGCGATGCTGGGCGCAGGGCGCAGCCTGCCGCGGAGGGCAGGGCCGGCGCAAGCGCACCCGGCGGAGCTCCTACCCCCGGACCTTTCGGGGGTCCGGACAAGGCTCCGGCAAGAGGCGGGCGGAAAGACACGCGGAGGAGAGGCGGGGAAGGCGACCGCGACGGGGCCGGACGGGGGAGGCGCGGGGGGAAAGGCTCAACGGTGGCGGAGCAGGCGCGGGGGAACCGGAAGCAGAGCAAGGCGTCGCGCAGAGCTGCGCGCGAGGAGGCTAAGAAGGCCGCTGCGCCCGTTCAGGCGGAGATTCTGGAGGTGGGGAAGGAGGGCATGAGCGTGCAGGAGCTGGCGCGGGAGCTGGCAGTCAACGACTCAGATGTGGTCAAAGCACTCTTCATGAAGGTGCGTGGTGTGGGGAATGGGGGGGGAATGGGCGGAAATTCTCTAGGCGGAGAGTCTGGAGGTGGGGAATGGGGGGGGAATGGGCGGAAATTCTCTAGGCGGAGAGTCTGGAGGTGGGGAAGGAGGGAGGTCATGAGCGTGCGGAAGCTGGCAGTCAACGACTCGGATGTGGTCAAGGCTCTCTTCATGAAGGTACGACTGAGAAGTGAAGGGTTCAGTGATGGGGTTTGGGTGACGGACGGAGAGCATGAGATGAGAGGATGAGATAGGATGAGAGAGTATGAGAGCGCATGAGCGTGCAGGAGCTGGCGCGGGAGCTGGCGGTGAACGACTCGGACGTCGTCAATGCTCTCTTCATGAAGGTGCGTGGTGGGTGGGGGATTGGAAGAATGGGCGGAAATACTACTCTAACCTGGGAAAGCAGGCATGAGAGCGCATGAGCGTGCAGGAGCTGGCGGTCAACGACTCTGACGTGGCCAAGGCTCTCTTCATGAAGGTGCGTGGTGTGGGGAATGGGCGGAAATTCCAAAGGCGGAGAGTCTGGAGGTGGGGAAGGAGGGCATGAGCGTGCAGGAGCTGGCGCAGGAGCTGGCGGTCAACGACTCTGACGTGGCCAAGGCTCTCTTCATGAAGGTGCGATCTGGGGACGGTTTGTCTGATAGGAGAGGGGGTTGAGTCATGGCGTGGGGTGGGAAAGGAACGTGCAGGTTTGAATGATGGGGGATTGGGTTTGGGTGTGAGGTTTGAGGCCTGGGCAATAAGGGAATTGTGTTTTTTTTTCTGCTTTCCCTCGTTGCCTAGGCGTTGTTTATGGTAAATCAGATTCTTGACGAGAATACAGTGGGCATGGAGTGTGAGGTTCTTGACTGGCCTTTTGTTGAATCATTTGAAACCATCACACCCCGTTATTATTACATCCCCGTTACAGGGTATTGCGACTACAGTAAACCAGGTTCTTGACGAGGATACAGTGCGCATGGTGTGCGCCGAGTACGGGGTGGAGGTTCTTGACATTGTCAAAATCTGTACCATGACCCGTTATTGTCATTCTCGTTACAGGGAATTGCGACTACAGTGAACCAAGTTCTTGACGAGGATACAGTGCGCATGGTGTGTGCCGAGTACGGGGTGGAGGTTCTCGATGCCAGCGAGGCAGCGATGGGGGAAGCTGCCAGGAAGCAGCGCGAATTTGTGCAGGAGGAGGATCTGGAGCACCTGGTGGTGCGCCCGCCCGTTGTGACTATAATGGGACATGTGGACCATGGCAAGGTGAGACTATATTGAGAAAAGAGAATATCGGGTGAAATATTCGAATGTAAGAGATGTTATTCGAGTGGCAAGAGGATCTGGAGCACCTGGTGGTGCGCCCGCCCGTTGTGACTATAATGGGACACGTGGACCATGGCAAGGTGAGACTATAACGAGAAAAGAGTATACTAGATGAAGGGTTCGCTCCCCCCCACACCCTCAACAGACCTCTCTTCTCGATTATATTCGCAAGACCAAGGTGGCAGCAGGGGAGGCGGGCGGGATCACCCAGGGCGCGTGTGGGTGCCCAAATGTTTCCTCTCGTCCTTCCCCTCTTCCTTCCCCTCCATCCTCTCACCTCGCAACAGACCTCTCTGCTGGATTACATCCGCAAGACAAAGGTGGCAGCTGGGGAGGCGGGCGGGATCACCCAGGGCATCGGAGCCTACCGCGTGTGGCTTCCCAATCCCCTTCCACTCCCCTCTGGCCCTTCTCTTCTCCCTTGCTCCTCCCACTCCCCTTCCACTCTCCCCTCTCACTCCCTCGCAACAGACCTCTCTGCTGGATTATATTCGCAAGACCAAGGTGGCAGCAGGGGAGGCAGGCGGAATCACCCAGGGCATCGGCGCCTACCGTACTAACGCACTCTCTGCCCCATACCCGTCCACCTCCCATCCACTCCCTCCCAACAGACCTCTCTGCTTGACTACATTCGCAAGACCAAGGTGGCAGCAGGGGAGGCGGGCGGAATCACCCAGGGAATCGGCGCCTACCGCGTGTGGGTGCCGTACGCCGCTGACTCAGACGATGACTCGGATGCTGACGTGGACAGTGAGGACGAGAACGAGGCGGGGCTGCACACGTGTGTGTTCCTGGACACGCCAGGTCACGAGGCGTTCAGCGCCATGCGGGCGCGCGGGGCGCGGGTGACGGATGTAGCGGTGATTGTGGTGGCAGCAGATGATGGGGTCAGGCCGCAGACCACTGAAGCTATCGCTCATGCTCGTGCCGCTGGCGTGCCTATTGTCGTCGCCATTAACAAGGTATGTCTATAACGAGGATAGCATAGGGGTGCGGTGATTGTGGTGGCAGCAGATGATGGGGTCAGGCCGCAGACCACTGAAGCTATCGCTCATGCTCGTGCCGCTGGCGTGCCTATTGTCGTCGCCATTAACAAGGTATGTCTATGACGAGGATAGCATAGGGGTGCGGTGATTGTGGTGGCAGCAGGTAGATGGGATCAGGCCGCAGACCACTGAATCTATAGCTCACGCCAGGTCACGAGGCGTTCAGTGCCATGCGGGCGCGGGGGGCGACTATTGAGACGTCTCAAAAGGCGTTCAGTGCCATGCGGGCGCGGGGGGCGACTATTGAGACGTCTCCAAAGGTGTTCAGCGCCATGTGGGCGCGCGGGGGGCGCGGGTGACGGATATAGCCGTGATTGTGGTGGCAGCGGATGACGGTGTCAGGCCTCAGACCACTGAAGCTATAGCCCACGCCCGCGCTGCAGGCGTCCCTATCGTGGTCGCGATTAACAAGGTATGTATATTACTAGAACGAGGATGCATATGGAAGGTCAGGGGTTGAGGAGAGAGTGGGTGACGGATGAGCATTGTGTTCCTGGACACGCCAGGTCACGAGGGGAGGAAAGGATACCATAGGGGGCACGGGTGACGGATATAGCCGTGATTGTGGTGGCAGCGGATGATGGTGTGAGGCCGCAAACTACAGAGGCAATCGCTCATGCTCGCGCTGCTGGTGTTCCCATTGTGGTCGCCATTAACAAGGTATGCTTATAATGAGGATGTGGACAGGGAGAGAGGGGGTGGCGGATATAGTGGTGATTGTGGTGGCAGCAGTTCGTGGGGTCAGGCCGCAGACCACTGAGGCGACTGCTCACGCTCGTGCTGCTGGTGTTCCAATCGTGGTTGCTATCAACAAGGTACGCCTATAAGAGGACACATCCAGAGGGTACAATGGGACACCACATGTTGGCGCGGGTGACGGATATAGCCGTGATTGTGGTGGCGGCGGATGATGGCGTCAGGCCGCAGACCACTGAAGTGATTGCTTACGCTCGTGCTGCTGGTGTTCCAATCGTGGTCGCCATTAACAAGGTATGATGATATTGAGGATATGGACAGGGAGGGAGGCGGTGACAACTGAGGCGATTGCGCTCGCCCGCGCTGCTGGTGTTCCAAACGGGTTGCTATCAACAAGGTATGTCTGTAACGAGAACTGGGGAGGAAAGAAAGGATACCATAGGGGGGGCGCGGGTGACGGATATCTCCGTGATTGTGGTGGCGGCAGATGATGGTGTGAGGCCGCAAACTACAGAGGCTATAGCCCACGCCTGCGCTGCTGGTGTTCCCATTGTCGTGGCCATCAACAAGGTATGAATATATCTGTAACGAGGACATTTCCATAAGGGGCATGGGGAGGAGAGGATAGCATTGGGGGCACGGGTGACGGATATAGCGGTGATTGTGGTGGCAGCAGATGATGGTGTGAGGCCGCAAACTACAGAGGCTATAGCCCACGCCTGCGCTGCTGGTGTTCCCATTGTCGTGGCCGTCAACAAGGTATGATCATGTCTATAACGAGGACATTTCCCTTGGGAGCATGGGGAGGAGAGGGTAGCATTGGGGGCGCGGGTGACGGATGTAGCGGTGATTGTGGTGGCGGCAGATGATGGTGTGAGGCCGCAAACTACAGAGGCTATAGCCCACGCCTGCGCTGCTGGTGTTCCCATTGTCGTGGCCATCAACAAGGTATGAATATGTCTGTAACGAGGACATTTCCATAAGGGGCATGGGGAGGAGAGGATAGCATTGGGGGCACGGGTGACGGATATAGCGGTGATTGTGGTGGCAGCAGATGATGGTGTGAGGCCGCAAACTACAGAGGCTATAGCCCACGCCTGCGCTGCTGGTGTTCCCATTGTCGTGGCCATCAACAAGGTATGATCATGTCTATAACGAGGACATTTCCATCGGGAGCATGGGGAGGAGAGGGTAGCATTGGGGGCGCGGGTGACGGATGTAGCGGTGATTGTGGTGGCGGCAGATGATGGTGTGAGGCCGCAAACTACAGAGGCTATAGCCCACGCCTGCGCTGCTGGTGTTCCCATTGTCGTGGCCATCAACAAGGTATGATCATGTCTATAACGAGGACATTTCCATTGGGAGCATGGGGAGGAGACGTTATCGTTGGGGGCGCGGGTGACGGATATAGCGGTGATTGTGGTGGCAGCAGATGATGGGGTCAGGCCGCATACCACTGAGGCTATGGCTCATACCCTTGACTGACGTCTCCTCGGTCACACAGTCCCCTCATACCGTTTGCGGCTCTCCTTTGTTCCTACCTCACACACACAGATGGACAAGGAGCGCGTGAACGTGGGCAGAGTGATGCAGGAGCTCGCAGCAGGAGGGAGACTCATGCCCTTGACTACTCTCCCCTCTCTTCGATTTTGGAGGTGCCTCTAAAACCACTCTCCCCTCTCTTCTCTCACTCCCCTCGCTCCGCACTCTTCCCCTGCGCCCCGTCCCCCATGCACAGATGGACAAGGAGGGGGCGAATGTGGACAGGGTGATGCAGGAGCTTAAGAGTCACTGGATTTTCCATGTGCCCCTTGTGTGCCCGTGTGTTGTGTCCCTTCCCATGTGCAGATGGACAAGGAGGGGGCGAATGTGGACAGGGTGATGCAGGAGCTGTCAGCAGGAGGGCTGATGCCTGCCTTTAGGCACTCTCTCCCTCCCCCCTCTTATTTGCTCTGTCTCTCCTTATTCCTCCCTCGACTCCCCTCGTCCCCCCACACACAGATGGACAAGGAGGGCGCGAACGTGGACAGGGTGATGCAGGAGCTCGCAGCTGGAGGGCTGATGCTCTTATTGACCACACTCTACCCTCTATTGTCTCCCTCCACTCACTTCCCGCTCACCTTCTTCTATCCAACTCACAGATGGACAAGGAGGGGGCGAACGTGGACAGGGTGATGCAGGAGCTGTCAGCAGGAGGGTTGATGTCGGAGGAGTGGGGAGGAGACACGCCCATGGTGCCGGTGAGTGCTGTGACTGTAACGAAATGCACACAAAGAATGGTTTTAACGGAACGGGAACTGGACGTAGGTCATGTGGTGTGGTGTGATATGGTGTGGTATGGTGTAGTGGATGGGCACATGAGCTGGCAGTGGGAGGAGGGCTTATATCGGAGGAGTGGGGGGGGGACACGCCAATGGTGCCGGTGAGTGTCGTGTGTGTGTGTGACTGTAGCGAGAGATAAGCACACACACGCGCCGTGCAGATTGTGCGAAACAGCGCACTGAAAGTGACTAATATGAGTGCTTGGTGTGATTATACTGGGATGAAGGCACACTTTTTACCTCTGCATCGCACGCTCTTCTCTGTCCCTCTTGTCTCCCCTCTTCCCATGGCCGCTGCAGATCAGTGCAAAGACAGGCCAAGGAGTGGACAGCCTGCTCGAGACAATCATGCCTATTCACTCCCTCACACGTACACACATCCATTTTTCTCACCCCTCCCCATCGCATTCCCTCCCAATCGTCTTCTCGTGGCTGCAGGTCAGCGCAAAGACAGGCCAAGGAGTGGACAGCCTGCTCGAGACGATCATGCTGGTGGCCGAGGTAAGGGGGAGAGGAGGGGGGATTTTCGAAGGGAGAGGGATTCTCTTAAATGAGAGGGAGTGTTGGAGCTCTGAAGAGGCAAAGACAGGCCAAGGAGTGGACAGCCTTCTCGAGACGATCATGCTCGTTGCCGAGGTAAGGACGAGGGAGAGAGGGGAAGGGGGGGTTGAAACAGAGGTGTGTGAAGGGGATGGTAGTGTTGAGATGTCTCAAGAGACATAAGACGGGCCAAGGAGTGGACAGCCTGCTCGAGATGATCATGCTTGTGGCTGAGGTGAGAAGTGGGAGAGGAGGGGGTGAATTGAGAGTGCATACAAGGAGAGGAGTGTTAGGTGTCTGGAAAGACATTAGGCAGGCCAAGGAGGGGACAGCCTGCTCGAGACGATCATGCTTGTGGCTGAAGTGAGAGATAGATACTGGGAGAGGGGAACAGGGGGTTGCGATGTCTCTAAAGGCACAGACAGGAACAGGAGAGAACAGCCTGCTCGAGACGATCATGTTTGTGGCTGAAGTGAGAGATGGAGGGATCAAGGGGGAGGGATTGGGGGGAGGGGGGCTGAAGTGGGGGTGTCTGAAGGGAGAGGGAGTGCTAGATGTCTCAAGGGACATATGACAGGCGAGGGAGTGGGCAGCCTTCTCGAGAAGATCATTCTCATTGCCGAGGTGGGAGATGGAGGGCTGTAGAGTTCCTTTGAGCAGGAGAAGAGCGTTTGAAGGACCGTGTCTAAAGGGAAAGGAGTGGGGAGGGACACGAAGGAAACGGGAGGGGAAGAATCTCCCGTCTCAAAAGGCACGGAGGGGGACAGGAAGGGACAGGCTTCTTGAGATTCTAAAGAGAGGGAGGTGTTTGCAAATGTACCTCTAGAGAGGGGGAATGTGAGGGAGTGGCGGGTAGTGGTGGTTGCTGTGGTGACAAATGGTGACAATCCATTTTGAGGGGGAATGTGAGGGGGTGACAGACAGGCAGCAGGCACGGTGATAGAGGCGAGTCTGGACAAACAGAGGGGACCCGAGGCACTTAAATCCCTCCCCTGTCCCCCCTTCTCCTCCACCCTCCCACCCTCACCACACTTCGTTGTGTTGCAGATTCAAGAGCTCAGGGCCAATCCTGACAGGCAGGCGGCAGGGACGGTGATAGAAGCAAGCCTGGACAAGCAGAGGGGGCCCGTGGCGACGCTGCTGGTGCAGAACGGCACACTCAGGCTGGGAGACGTGGTGCTGTGTGGAGAGGCATACGGGAAGGTATGACGGGGGAGGGGGAGGGGGAGGGGGAGGGGGGGAAAGGGATATGACCAGAGTGGGTAGTGGACAAGCAGAGGGGACCCGTGGCGACGCTGCTGGTGCAGAACGGAACACTGAGGCTGGGAGATGTGGTGCTGTGTGGAGAGGCGTATGGGAAGGTACGAATGACTTTATATGTGGAAGTGGGATCAAGGCATGAATGGTGCAAGGGACAAGCAGAGGGGGCCGGTAGCGACGCTGCTGGTGCAGAACGGCACACTCAGGCTGGGAGACGTGGTGCTGTGTGGAGAGGCATACGGCAAGGTGAGGCTGGGTTGGGATGAGAGGAGAAGGGGTGGTGGAGAGGAAGAGGGGGACGGGTAACGGAGTTGGGTGTGGGGGGCAATTGGGCCTGTGGCGATGCTGCTGGTGCAGAACGGCACGATAGGCTGGGAGATGTGGTGCTGCGTGGCGAGGCGTACGGGAAGGTGAGGCTGGGTTGGGATGGGAGTAAGGGAGGGGTAGTGACAGGAAGACGGGGGCGGGTAATGGGGGACCATGTGGGCTGGTGGTGACGCTGCTGGTGCAGAACGGCACACTCAGGCTGGGAGACGTGGTGCTGTGTGGAGAGGCATATGGGAAGGTGAGGATGGGTTGGGATGAGAGGAGAAGTATTGGAGAGGATGAAGGAGACTGGTGATATGGTAACATGAGGGCCGGTGGCGACGCTGCTGGTGCAGAACGGCATGATGAGCCTGGGAAGCGTGGTGCTGTGTGGAGAGGCGTACGGGAAGGTGAGGCTGGGTAGGGTGGGGATCGGAATGGGGAAGTGGGCAAGAGGGGAAATGAGAGCCTGTGGCGATGCCGCTGGTGCAGTCGGGGATGGGGAATGGGTGCTGCTGTGGATCCAAGCTCTAGCTGACATGGGCAGTCGCAGTGTCTGATAAGTCGAGTTTTGAGTTGACTCAAATCTCGACTTATCACACACGGCGATGCGGCTGGTGCAGTCGGGGATGGGGAGTGGGTGCTGCTGCGGATCCAAGGGTCTGTTTTTTGAGAATTCTAAAAAAATGGGTGCTGCTGCGGATCCAAGCGTCTGTTTTTTGAGAATTCTAAAAAAAAGGGTGCTGCTGCGGATCCAAGCGTCTGTTTTTTGAGAATTAAAAAAAAATGGGTGCTGCTGTGGATCCAAGCTCTAGCCGACATGGGCAGTCGCAGTGTCTGATAAGTCGAGTTTTTGAGGCGCCTCAAGAGTCGGGGATGGGGAATGGGTGCTGCTGTGGATCCCAAGCTCTGGCCGACATGGGCAGTTGCAGTGTCTCTGCTCTGCTGGGCCTTCTCTTCCACCTGCCCGCACCTCTGTCCACCCCTCTCCATTCCCCTCCACTCCCTTCCACCCCTCTCCACTCCCTGCGGCAGATCCGAGCTCTAGTGGACGATACGGGAAGCCGCAGCGACTCTGCAGGGCCTTCTCTCGCTGTCACTGCTAAGGTCCTCACCCCTATCCACCCCCCTGCACTCCCCTGCAACCCCCTCCATCTGCCCTTCAGATCCGAGCTCTAGTGGACGACACGGGAAGCCGCAGCGACTCTGCTGGGCCTTCTCTCGCTGTGGAGGTAAGCCTTCCAGTGAAGTGCAAGTCTGGGGGGATTGTTTGTTAGCTAGGGCAGCCGCAGCGACTCTGCTGGGCCTTCTCTCGCTGTGGAGGTAAGCCTATCTATCAAGTGCCAGTCTGCTGCAGAGTGGAGAGGGGTTATTTGCCTTCTCTATCTATCAAGTGCCAGTCTGCAGAGGCAATCACAAAGTAGTATTGAGACATCTCAGAACCAATTGATTATCACACTGCCGGTCCTTCTCTTGCTGTGGAGATCTAGTAACCATTGATGGGGATCTTGTGAATATTCTGCTTCTGCGAGTTAAGGGGTTTCTTGTACTACTACCTAGTTTTCTTGCAGCTATTCCGATATGAGTTTGGATCTAGTAACCATTGATGGGGATGTTGTGAATATTCTGTTTCTCAGCTCCGTGCCGGTGGCAGGTATATTTGCGTGACTTTTGAGGATTCTCAAAAGTCACACAGAGATCTAGTAACCATTGATGGGGATGTTGTAAATATTCTGCTTCTCAGCTCCATGCCGGTAGCAAGCGACCCCTTTGAAGTGGGTTGACTCGCTTGACCAGCCACTCACTCACTCTCTTGGATCTTGCGTTTCTCATACCCTCTTTGTCTGGCTCAGGTCCTCGGTCTCAGCTCCGTGCAGGTGGCAGGCGACCACTTTGAAGTGGTTGACTCGCTTGACCAGGCCCGCAACATGGCTCAGCGCTTCCGTTTCCCATACCCTCTCCCCTCACGCACCTCAGGTCCTCGATCTCAGCTCAGTGCCGGTGGCAGGCGACCACTTGGAAGTGGTTGACTCGCTTGATCAGACCGTTTTCTCATATATGTCTGCATGTTTTTCCCTCTCTTCCCACACCTCAGGTCCTGGGTCTCAGCTCAGTGCCGGTGGCAGGCGACCACTTTGAAGTGGTTGACTCGCTTGACCAGGCCCGCAACATGGCCGAGGAAGCTGCTGCGAAGCTGCGCACCGCCAGGCTGGCAGCCCTGCAGGGCGAGTCGAAGGTGTCTCTCTCCGCCCTGGCTGGCCGGGGGGCGTCTGGAGGGATGGGCAGTGATGGAGAGGGGGACGAGGAAGGACTTGAGTTCCACCAGCTGAACGTGATTCTCAAGGTCGACAACCAGGTGGGTCCCTGCCGGAGGGATTGGGGTTTGTGAGATTTGGCTCTGCTCGGATTGGCGCAGGCTGGAACTCTTTGAGCAGCCACGCTGGCAGCCCTGCAGGGCGAGTCGAAGGTGTCTCTCTCCGCCCTGGCTGGCCGGGGGGCGTCTGGAGGGATGGGCAGTGATTGAGAGGGGGAGGAGGAAGGACTCGAGTTCCACCAGCTGAACGTGATCCTGAAGGTCGACAATGAGGTGGGTCCCTGCATGCATGGGTCTTATAAAAATTGGCACAGGTTGGTATACCTCCAGCCTGCAGGCGAGTCAGTCAGAGCCGCCTTTTGAATCACCTCAAAAGTCATTTTGAGTCGACTCAAAAGTCACCTCAAAAGTCATTTTGAGTCGACTCAAAAGTCACCTCAAAAGTCATTTTGAGTCGACTCAAAAGTCACCTCAAAAGTCATTTTGAGTCGACTCAAAAGTCACCTCAAAGTCATTTTGAGTCGACTCATGAATTGGCACGGGTTGGTATACCTCCAGCCTGCAGGCGAGTCAGTCAGTGCCGCCAGGCTGGCGGTGCTGCCGGCAAGACTAAGCGCTGGTTATTGTCATCACACTGTACCGCACTGCACCCAACCACACCTCTCTCCACCGCTCCATAACCTCTCTCTATCGTTCCGTACCCTGCTCTATCATCCCTCTCCAGGGTGCTGTGGAGGCAATCCGAGAGGCACTGGCGGCACCGCCACATGACACCGTGTCACTGCAGTTCCTCCTCACCCCCCTCCACCGTTTTGTACCCCTCTCTCTGCCTCTCTCATCTCGCAGGGTGCTGTGGAGGCGATCAGAGAGGCGCTGGCAGCTCTGCCACAAGACACGGACCTGCCTTCGTCTAATCCTCACTCCTCTCAACCGTTTTGTACCCCTCTCTCTCTCCCTCTCGTCTCTCCAGGGTGCTGTGGAGGCCATCAGGGAGGTGCTGGCAGCGCTGCCCCAAGACACCGTGCTATGGTGACTCATCGCCCTGCACCGCACAGCATCCTTCTCACACCTCTCTCCACCGTTTTGTATCTATCTATCTTCCCCCCCCCTCCAGGGTGCTGTGGAGGCCATTAGGGAGGCGCTGACAGCGCTGCCCCAAGACACAGTTTCGCTGCGGTTCCTTCTCCAGGTGAGATTTGCTATAAGGTGAAACCCACTAGAAAAGTTAACTTTGTTATAAGATTGTGAGGGTCCATTCTGCAAGTGTTGCAGTAGCAGACCTTTGCTGCAGTTCCCGCTTCAGAGGAGATTCGTTACAAGTTTGAGATACGCTATATGTGAGTTTCATAATAACTTTCACTATTCTTCCTTCTCCCCCATTCTTCCACTGCTCTCCCCTTTCCCTACAGGCTGCTGGTGACGTGGCACTGAGCGACATTGACCTGGCAGTTGCCAGCGAGGCGGTGGTGCTGGCGTTCAACGTGAGCATGTCGCCCGCTGTGGAGGCAGCAGCAGAGGAGAAGGGTGTGGAAGTGCGGACATACCGAGTGATCTACGACCTTATCGATGATGTTCGCAAGGCAATGGAGGGGCTTCTTGACTCTGTTGAGGTGAGAACTGGCCGTGAAAGTGGTCCTGAGTGGTTCGGAGCGGTGCTGAGTGGTGCTGGATGGTGCTCTGGTTGTGGTGCTGGCATTCAACGTGAGCATGCCGCCCGCCGTGGAGGCAGCAGCAGAGGACGTTAGTGTCCGCACTTCCACACCATTAGTGCGGACGTTCCGAGTGATCTACGACCTGATTGACGATGTCAGGAAGGCAATGGAGGGGCTTCTTGACTCTGTTGAGGTGAGAAGAGAGAGGGAGAGAGAGAGTGCCTGGAGTGTGCCTGTGGGAAATGTAGGCCTGTCACTCCAAGCAGCAGAGGAGAAGGGTGTGGAAGTGCGGACGTACCGAGTGATCTACGACCTGATTGACGACGTCAGGAAGGCCATGGAGGGGCTGCTTGATTCTGTGGAGGTGCGTTCCCTTGAGTGGTGCTGAGTGGTGCTGAGTGGTGCTGAGCAGTGCTCGAGCTGTGATGCTGGTTGGTGTGGAAGTGCGGACGTACCGAGTGATCTATGACCTGATTGTTGACGTCAGGAAGGCAATGGAGGGGCTGCTCGACCCGCTTCTTCCCCCCACCTCCCCCTCTCTGCCCGGTTCCGCTCCCCCCCCTCCCCCACACCATCAAACTCCAGGAGCGCACGCCTCACCCTCGGCGGAGGTTCGGGGCGGTGTTTGGGGCGGGGAGTAGCAAGGTGGCTGGGCTGGGGTGATGGTGACTGAAGGGAAGCTCGTCAAGGGGTGTGGAGTGGGGTGGGCCTTGAGTCACCTCACCTCACACGTTCTCGTGCCTCACTCACTCCACTCCCTTCACCCCACTTCCCTCTCCTCCCCCTCCCTCTCTCTTCCCCCTTCCCTCTCCTCTCGTCTCCCCTCCTTAAAATCCTGGAGCGCACTCCTCTAGGCTCAGCGGAGGTGCGGGCGGTGTTTGGTGCGGGGAGCAGCAAGGTGGCTGGGGTGATGGTGACTGAAGGGAAGCTCGTGAAAGCGTGCGGAGAGAGCTTTGTTTCACCTCACACGCTCTCTTGTCTCACTCACTCCCTTCACCCCTCGTGCCTCTCCTCCCCTGCCCTCCCTCTTCCCCCTTCCCTCTCCTCTTGTCTCCCCTCTCTCGAATCCAGGAGCGCACGCCTCTAGGCTCGGCGGAGGTTCGGGCGGTGTTTGGTGCGGGAAGCAGCAAGGTGGCTGGAGTGATGGTGACTGAAGGGAAGCTCGTGAAGGGGTGTGGGGTGGCGGTAATTCGGGGGAAGAAAGAGGTGTACTCGGGTACACTCACGTCGCTCCGAAGAGTCAAAGAGCTTGCTAAAGAGGTACGCTTATAACAAGTACAAATCAAACTTGGAAGGAAGGGATCTCGTGAACGGGTGTGAGGTGGCGGTGATTCGAGGGAAGAGGGAGTTGTACTAGGGTACACTCACGTCGCTCCGGCGAGTCAAAGAGCTTGCTAAAGAGGAACGCTTATGAAGAGTACAAATCAAACTTGGAAGGAAGGGAAGCTCGTCAAGGGGTGTGGGGTGGCGGTGATTCGAGGGAAGAGGGAGGTGTACTCGGGTGCAAGGTGACTTTTGAGTCGACTACTCGAGTGCGAGGTGACTTTTGAGTCGACTCAAAAGTCACCTCGTGATTCAGGGGAAGAGGGAGGTGTACTCGGGTACACTCACGTGGCTGCGACGAGTCAAAGAGCTTGCTAAGGAGGTCAGCTTGAGTGCGGGTGGGCCTGGAAGGTTATGACGAGTGGCAGCAGGGCGACAGCATCGAAGCTTACCTTCCCTTCATTCCTACTCCCCACTCCCCATTCTCCCTTTTCTCAAACAGGTTGTGGCAGGGCTGGAGTGCAGGGTGGGCCAGGAGGCATCGAGGCTCTCCTGTTATCACACCCTATTTCTTAGCCCTGTGAACCCACTCCCATCAACTCATGTTGCAGGTTGTAGCAGGGCTGGAGTGCGGAGTGGACCTGGAGGGCTTTGACGAGTGGCAGCAGGGCGACAGCATTGAGGCGTTTGAGGTGTCCGTTCCACCATGTCCTTGCCCTGATCTCCCTTTCCCTGTGCCTCTATCTGCAATACCCCAAACACCAGGTGGTGGCGGGACTGGAGTGCGGGGTGGGGGTGGAGGGCTTTGACGAGTGGCAGCAGGGCGACAGCATCGAGGCGTTTGAGGTGGTGCAAAAGGCGAGGTCCCTCGAAGATGCTTCCAAGGAAGTTACCAAAGCTGTGGCCGAGAAAACTGAGTCCATGGGGATTGCCGTCAGCACAGCGTAATTGTGGATGGGAGGCGTGGGGATGGGGGGGAGACAGGGTGGTGCAAAAGGCGAGGTCCCTTGAAGATGCTTCCAAGGAGGTTACTACCAAAGCTGTGGCCGAAAAAACCAAGTCCATGGGGATAGCGGTCAGCGCAGCGTAATTGTGGATGGGGGGCGTGGGGGCGGGGGGGAGACAGGGTGGTGCAAAAGGCGAGGTCGCTGGAGGATGCATCCATCCAAGGAGGTTACTACCAAAGCCGTGGCTGAGACAACCGAGTCCATGGGGATAGCGGTCAGCGCAGCGTAACTTGCGGGGCGGGAGGAGTGGCTGACGGGAAAGGGAAGGTGAAGAGAGAGAGGTGCAAAAGGCAAAGATGCATCCAAGGAATTACCAAAGCTGTGGCTGAAAAAACCGAGTCCATGGGGATAGCGGTCAGCGCAGCGTAATTGTGGATGGGAGGAATGAGTGGGGGGGTAGGGTAGGGTTATGAGAGGGCTGGTGGGTGGAGGTGCCTTGAATAAGATTCGGGTGTGGATCGTATACATTTGGATCACAATTTGGTACCTTGCAAATTGTGCTTTCTGCCTTGTTTGTAGGTGTGCAAGCAATTGATATGTGATGAGAACTTTGGTCATTAATGTGGAAAATTTGCCTTGACGTTTCTGCACTAGTGTCAAGTTACAGAAAAACGTCTCTTGTACTGGACACTCAGATGGGTTAGTCAACACCACATACTTCTGATGGCACAAAACGTTGAATTTGTTAGAAAAACAAACAGCACGGTACATGAGTTAAGCACTAAGGATAAGTCACGCAAACCCACACACACACACACACACAAGAACACTTAGCTGACAAAACTCATAAAGAAAACGGGAGTTTCAAGTGAACAGTACGCGGCTCGAAGCTACGTCGAAATTAAGCTTCCGCGACACGATTCGGCACCTCTTGGTCTTCGGCATAGTAGCAGCGAGATCATCCGTCCTGTTGTAACCCGGTCTCCGCTTTTTCGGCGCTGCAGGCGGAAAGGTTTTTGCTGACGTGTCCGCTACAGGAGGAACGCCGGACGCGGGCGGAGAATGCCATCCTGCGGGCGCCTGCGAAGACTGCGACAGATGCGACGCTCCATGCGACGGATGCGATCCTTCATGCGACGTCGTCGTGTTCGTCGCGACGGAGGCGACGTCGCAGGACGAGTCCCGCGGAACCTCATTGCCGTTTAAAGAGAATCCGAAGCTTAACTCTCGGACCGCCCTTCGAAATTTTTTCATATCTGAAATAGCAGCGAGCCGCGATCGGTTGTATAACCTCCGCTTCATCGGCGCTCCCGGGCAAGACCTCGCCGACTCGTCCGCCTCAGGCGGCGCAGGAGATTTAGGCGCCGGCGACGATGATGACGACGCTTCAGGCGACGTCGCCGCGTTTGACATGTCGCCTACCGCTTCGTGCGTTGATCCAAGGCGGCTCGAGAATATGCCAGTTTCTGGCATGGCTTTACCAAATGCTCCGCCAGTCTCCTCGAGTCGCCCAATGTCCCCGCAGTTTTCTTCCGACGGGCCGCGAATCGATCCGAATCCAACGGCCGCTGGAGCCGATCCGGCCAAGACCGCAGCGGTTCCTCCAGACGACAAAATCTGTACTGAGGAAAGCGCTTCCAGCAACAACTGGCTCTTGATTCGTCCCAAGCAAGTCACTGTCGGCGCAGCACCGGCGGTTCCTTCTGCGACGGACATCTTGCCTTTCTCAGAAAAAGAAGAATTGCCGCAAAGTGAAACGGTTTGTCGGGCTGTTGCCTCTTGAAAAAACTCTTGACAACTGGCGGCTCGCGGTATGAAAAAAGGAGGCGAAACTTTTTGGGTGGAGGCGAGTTGGAGCGCCATTGTGTCAAGCTAGCCTAAGCAGCCAATGCGGTACACTCGCCTTGCAGAATGAACACGGTCGTCAATATTTGTCAGCAATGTGTTGAAATCACTGAGAGCAAGAAACTCATCTGTCCAGCAAGGCAAAAGGCCTTTCTCTCGAAAATACCGGAATTCAAGCAAACAGATGAGTGGGCGACTGACCAGAAAATGCCGCAAACGCGAGAACAAACAAGCTCCTCAGAACTGCAAGCAGTAGTGCTACTGATCGGAAATCTATGGTGGCTGATTCTACTCTACGGTGATATGTGTGGCGGTGTGTGGGTTGAGTTGAGGCAGCATGGTCGGTTGGTAGTGGATGTCAGGTCAAGAGGGTGAAAGATACAATTTGCGAGTGTCCCAGGAATGGTCAGGCCCATAATGGTGGACCATCGATATGGGATTGAACAGGTGTGGAATGGTTTTAGCTGGTTTGCGATCTACTCGGTTGGGTTGGGCTGGGTGAATGGTGGAACATGGAGTGTGATGTGAGGTGAGGTTCCAGGGTTCAGTTCAGCTCAGCACACAACTACAATGCAGTTGGTGGGCAAAAATGATGACAGCTCAGTATAGTCCCTAACAGACGCAAATCATGCAGGGCGCTGTACACATTGTACAGTACAGGATCTTCTTGCTGACGACAGTGAGGACGGTTGCCAAAGAGATCATGCCCGATGCGTTCACAGCCAGGCGATCTCAACTCTAGGGGAGACGCGAATCTTGTCATGGGGGAACGCAGATGGTCAGTACTCCCTACTGCCATTTTACCCATAGGAAGTCGAAAAACGGCATGTGATGTGCCAGGGCCGAGGTGTTGGGATAACTGTACATAGAGAGATCAAACTGTTGACGTAGAAATACATTACACGAATCAAGTGTTCCAGACCCAAGGGAGATAGTCAATGGTGAGGTGGAGAGTAGGCGGAGTTCCGCGCGCAGCCTGCCCGCCGGTTTATTTTGAAAGAAGGCTTGCAAATCGTGTCGGCATTCGACGTGACGTGTGCTAGGAACGGGACCAGTGGGTCGAGTCATGAGTACGAGTCAATGACCTGGCAGGTAACCCGAGTCGAATAGAGACAGGGCTGGTTGGACTAGTGATAGGTCGGATCAGATGGGATGCGTGGAAATGACGGTCAGCAGTCTCCCGTTTCATAGCCAGCCATACCATCACACGTCGGTGGAGTACGGCCCGATCATTGGTCAGGTGGCGTAGCAAGTGGAGCAGCGGCAGGTGTAGTTTGTGGGGAAAGGGGGAGAGGAGAAGGCACCCATTTGGGTTCGTGGATACCTCCAGGAGAGGGCACCCATTTGGGTACCTCCCCCTGCCCTTTGAGGGGGTTCATGGTGGCGGCGGCTGCCACGCTACCGTGGCACCTTGAAAAGATCTGACTCCAAGGAATCAGGGAGGATACATCCAGGATGGGGGAGCATCATTCCCCCTAGATTTGGTCTTCATTCCAGCTTCACCCTGTCTTGCAAAATGTAAGTCTCGGCCCGGGTTTTTTAGACTGAAGGGTTTCGATGTACACTAATTGTAGTGAATGTGACTTCGAAGGAGAAACCACGGCTCGTTATATAAGAGTTGCATGCTTCTGGGGTATTCCGCCTTGGGCTCTGAGATCCTCGTCATTTCCACAACTTTGACGCAGAAGTGAGCTTCAAACACTGGGTGAGACACCACAAATGATAGATATTTCGGATATTCTTTTCACATTCCTTCCATTCTGTATCGTTGCGGCTCCCGAACAGGCAGACCAGCCACACACTCGACCAAAATATCCTCCACGCTTGCATGGTGTTTGACCAATGAGGTGAAGATCTGTTGACAAGATGACAGTCTGGCATGACAAAACCTACATTCCATAATTTGGAAGCACTATGTCTCACGTGCAGTACTGCTTCTTCACTGGTGCAATGGAAAACGAACACACAAAATCGCCTTACTCTGCCATGATTGGTTGTGGATCCCGTAAGACAAGGCTGCATTCCGCGGATCAAATATTTCCGTTTGAGACTGGATAAGGTAGTTCGTGATAATGCGACCAGATAAAGTCCAAACATGTTTGTTAGACGCCTCGATAGTGGCAAAATTCAAAATCTGAAAAGCGCATATGGTTTACCGTACATTCTAAATTGCTAGCATTAATGCGACGCCTCTGATCTTCTTATGTGGGGTATGAGCACAATTTTAAATTTCCCGCCAAGTGCTTGCAGTCAGTCCATTCAGGCAGTAGATCCCCGCCGAGACTACGCACAACCCAACCTTTAGTATTCTCTCGCATGTCATGGCATCCAATTCGCGGTCTCTTTCGCGTCTTGTCGTCTTTTCCCGCCACATCGCACCTCAGACTGATGAACTCGTTCATCAGCGTCTCAATTCCCCGTTGCCTTCTATCGGATCTGACACTCGCGCATCCTTTGGCCCATCCTTCTTGCACTCGGGTGCATCAGCACCATCCCCTCTATTGAGTCTACTGGAATATCCGCTATTGTCTCCTACCATTTATTCAACTAATGATAGTGTTTCCACGCTTTCTCCGCTTATCCGAGTTTCATCCTCTTCCTCTGTCGCCGATCTCCTCCCGAATTCCCGCGCCGACCAATCAGCCGCTTCCACGAGTAAAACGGGGAGTTGTTCAAATGATTGGTGTCAAAAGCAGCAGAAACACCTGTCAGCAGCCTTACATAGAAATTCCGGAATTCACGCAGATTCAGCGGCAGCAGATGCAGGAAACGAATCTTCCCCAGCCAATTCTCAAGACTCAAGGGAATCGTCGCCATTAGACTCCTCTTCGTCCGAGCCCGTAGCTTTGGTAATAGGTGCGGGAGACGCCATAGGCTCGGCAGTGGCTCGGCGGTTCGCCAGGGAAGGATATGTGGCGGTGGTGGTTCGGAGAAACGGATCCAAACTCCAACGGCTAGTGGAGGAAATAGCAGCAGATGGCGGGAAAGCTGTGGCATTCGGAGTGGACGCCAGAAGAGAAGGTGAGCGAGCAGAGACGCTGTTTTTGTTTTCTGTTCTAGAAAACGGATCCAATCTCCAACGGCTAGTGGAGGAGATAATGGAGATGGCGGGAAAGCAGTGGCGTTTGGAGTGGACGCCAAAAGGGAAGGTGAGTGATGATGGGTGAGATGTGGGGAGAGAGAAGGAGAGTGATGGCGGGGGGACGGGTCTAAGCTCCAACGGCTAGTGGAGCTCCAGGGTGAGTGATTTTGGGTGAGATGTGGGGAGAGAAGGTGAGAGTTGAAGTGTGGAATAAAGGGAGAAAAGGTGAGAGGTTAAGCGTGCGATAGGGGAGAGAGAAGATGAGAGGTGTTGGGTGAGAGGGGAAGAGGGAAGGTGAGGAATGATGTGTGGGATCGCATGTGATGGTTGCATGTGACGGGTTTGAACATTGGTGCAAGCAATACTGACACAACTCCAGTCCCTGTTCCTCTTCTCCCTCCTGCTCCACCTCTCCTCCATTGCAGACCAGGTGGTGCAACTGTTTGCTACAGTGGAAAGAGAGATCCGTCCGATCCATGTGATGGTGTTCAACATTGGAGCTACCAGTTTTGACTCCAATCCAGTTCCTCTTCCTCTTCCCCCTCCTGCTCACTCTCTCTCCTCCCGCAAGCTAGGTGGTGCAACTGTTCGCTACAGTGGAAAGAGAGAAATCAGTCCGATTCATGTGCTGGTTTTTAACATCGGTGCGAGCAGCACTGACACGACTCCAGTCACTGCTCCTCTTCTCCCTCCTCCTCCACTCCTCTCCTCTATCTCCCGTCTCCGTTTCTATCCTCCCCACAGGCCAGGTGGCGCAACCGTTCGCTACAGTGGAAAGAGAGATCTGTTCGATCCATGTGATGGGACTCAACTTCGGTGCATGCATCACTCCTCCTCCATCTCTCTCCTCACTCTCTCTCCTCCCCACAGACCAGTTGGTGCAACTATTTGCCACAGTGGAGGCGGAGATCGGTCCGATCCATGTGATGGTGTTCAACATCGGTGCGAGCAGCACTGACACGTCTCCAGTCTCTGCTCCTCTTCTCCCTCCTCCACTCCTTTCATCCATCCCTCTGCTCCACCTCTCCTCCATTGCAGACCAGGTGGCTCGGCTGTTTGCTACAGTGGAGGGGGAAATCGGTCCCATCCATGTGATGGTGTTCAACATTGGAGCAAGTAGCTCTAGAATTGCTCCTGTCTCTCCTCTTTTCCCGGCTCCTCCCACCCTTTCCTCCCCGCAGACCAGGTGGCTCAACTGTTTGCCACAGTGGAGGCGGATATAGGTCCGATGCATGTGATGGTCTTCAACATCGGAGCAAGTAGCTCTAGGATTGCTCCTGTCTCTCTTCCTCTTTTCCCGGCTCCTCCCATTCCTTTCCTCCCCGCAGACCACGTGGCTCAACTGTTCGCTACAGAGGAGGCGGAGATCGGTCCGATGCATGTGATGGTGTTCAACATCGGAGCAAGTAGCTCTAGAATTGCTCCTGTCTTTTGAGACGTCTCAGAAATCGGTCCCATCCATGTGATGGTGTTCAACATCGGAGCAAGTAGCTCTAGGATTGCCCCTGTCTCTCTTCCTCTTTTCCCGGCTCCTCCCATTCCTTTCCTCCCCACAGACCAGGTGGCTCAACTGTTTGCCACAGTGGAAAAGGAAATTGGTCCGGTTCGAGTGGTGGTTTTCAACATCGGAGCAAACGTCAAGTTTGATGTGGTGGACACGACTTCGAGAGTTTACTTCAAGGTGTGTCAGTTGTATGCTTTGAAGAGGGTTTTTGAGAAAATACAAAAACTCCCGGACACGACTTTGAGAGTTTACATCAATGTGTGTCAGTTGTATGCTTTGAAGAGACGGGTATGTTTGCCTTGATCCATGTGATGGTTTTCAACATTGGGGCGAATGTCAAATTTGATGTGATGGACACAACATCGAGAGTTTACTTCAAGGTGTGTCAGCTGTACATGGGGGGAGAGAGAGAGAGGTGTGGAGAGACGTCAAGCCAGCCAAGCTAGGTTCAATCGGATCCATGTAATGGTGTATCAGGTGCAATCAATCAGGTGGTTTTTTTTTTTTTTTTTTTTTTTTTTTTTTGGGCTTATGGGTGATCAGCTGACACACCTTATGTTAGCATGTGTAATGGGGAAAACCAATCTTACAGAAATTATCCAACTTGTGCAACAGATGGCATTCTGGTGTGAAGCTTTCAGAAGGCTACTCGGAGGCTGTTCTCTTCTCTATAGTTGGACTCAATGTAACCGTCTGTCGTTTGAACCCCTATAAACCCCTTGAAAATGTTGTCATCCGAACCTCCAGGTTTGGGAAATGGCATGCTTGGCAGGCTTCCTCACATCTCGTGAGGCTGCACGGAGGATGCTTCCCAGAAACTGCGGCACGATTATTCTCACCGGTGCTACTGCAAGCGTTCGTGGCGCTGCAGGGTTTTCTGCCTTTGCGGGAGCTAAGCACGCGCTAAGAGCTCTGGCTCAATGCTTAGCTAAAGAATTAGGTCCCCAGGGGGTACATGTTTGCCATGTGGTGATTGATGGGGCTGTTGACACACCGTGGATTAGGGGGAATTTTCCAGAGATGGTAAAGGAGAAAGAGAAGGTGGATGGGTTGGTGCAGCCTGATGATGTGGCGGAGCTGTATTGGTCGCTGCATATGCAGAAGAGGAGTGGCTGGGCGTTCGAGGTGGACCTGAGGCCATGGACGGAGAGATGGTGATTGTCTTTCTATTTTTTGTGATTTTTTCTGTAAATAGCAGTTTTACAGGAGGCTTTTCATCGATGGCATTATTTTCTAGTGCGTAGGTAGATGCCAAGTATTAAATTTAATAAGAGGTTCATGTCATGCCTTAATTCGTTTCAGGTGTTCATAGTTTCGCTTCGTCCTCACTTCTTTGTGTCTATAGCGGACATTTTGGCTTGAGTATCGACAGCCATGTGCCCAAGCGAAACTCAAGGGTCAAGCGACGGCGGCGCCCCCCACATCGCCGCACCGCCCTACATGAACCGCCGCCCGTCCCAACCATCGTTTTCAATCTTGTTCGTCCATCCAGCTCGTCGATCCCATCCGAACGGTCGATCTACCGACCACAAACAATCATCCAAATGGGGTATGTGAATGTTTTCCAACCTCCCCACCTCACCAACAAAAATTGGCATCAATTCCAAGCCATGAGAAATTTGTCCCTCACTGCTCCAACAATTCCTACCTCCCGCATACCTACCTCCCTCCCGTTTCAGCCAGTCGCTATGACTTAATGATTTTCCAGGTTCATCCACCGCTGCGCACTTTGCATTGAACAGAGAATATCGTCCACGTGAGCCCAGCAACATAGAAACACAGCGAACACAGCAAACAGAATCTAGCAACATAGCCGCAACATACAGTGAGACGATCATACAAGCTAAGCTAAGAACCAGCACAGGTTTCCTAGTTCGCTGTGCTGCAGCTGGAGGTAACAGAAGAAGATGTTTCTTTATTTAAGCGTAATACTCAGTAACGAATCGTCTTTCCCCCTCTGCACTCGCTTCTAATAGTTCGCTCAAGCCAGCCATCAAAACACTCCAGCAGCAGAACCGCCTACGCGTTACGAGCCGGCTACCCGTTTATCCGCCATGGCGCGTCGCCTTTCTCCCTGGGGATTGTCGCTGGTCCTGCTTGCGCTTCTCGCGGCGCTTCTTCCGGAGCTGTGCGCCGCGGACGATGATGGCAGCTCTCGCCAGTACGATGGGAAGACCGGCGCGAAGAAGCTTATAGCGGAGATGAAGAAGAAAGGCTACAACACTGCGCTGTCGCTTTTCGAATCGACAGGTACTCTTGAGAATTACAAGGTTAATCTAACGGTACTCCTATTGAGGCTCCTCAGTTCTTTATAGCGGAGATGAAGAAGAAAGGCTACAACACTGCGCTGTCGCTTTTCGAATCGACAGGTACTATACTCCTGCTGCGATCCTCTTTTCCCTGCTCGTCATTTTTCCCTTTATTTCTTTTCCCCTCTCGTTTCCTTCCCCCGGTCAACCCGCGTTTTCCTTTACGACTCGCGCCACCATCCTCCCGCCCATGGACGAGGCCTTAGCAAAGCACTCTCCGCCCGTCCGTCCCCCTACATTCTGCCCCCGTTCCCTCCATCCTCCCCCAGGCGACTTCTGAGACGTCTCAACCTCGCGGCGACCATGGGCGTGGCCTTTGCAAAACTCTCTCCGCCCGTCCGTCCCCCTGCATACTGCCCCCATTCCCTCCATCCTACCCCAGGCGGTGCAAAGGAGTTCCCTGCAACAATGAGTTACTACCGCCTCACCGTTCTCGCGCCCACCGATGAGGCCATTCTGCCCCCTCTCGTTCAATGTGCCCCGATTTGCCTCCAGGTATCGTAAAGGAGCTCCCTACAGAAATGAGTTACCACCGCCTCACCGTCCTCGCGCCAACAGACGAGGCGTCGTCAACAGACGAGGCGCGAGGCTAAGGCGCCAACAGACGACGCCTTTGCCTCGCGCCCACAGACGACGCCTTTGCCTCGCGCCCACAGACGACGCCTTTGCCTCGCGCCCACAGACGACGCCTTTGCCTCGCGCCCACAGACGACGCCTTTGCCTCGCGCCCACAGACGACGCCTTTGCCTCGCGCCCACAGACGACGCCTCTGCCTCGCGCCCACAGACGACGCCTTTGCCTCGCGCCCACAGACGACGCCTTTGCCTCGCGCCCACAGACGACGCCTTTGCCAAGCTCCCTGCTCGTCCTCCCCCCTGCATACTCCCCCCATCCTCTCCATCCTCCCCCAGGAATAGCCAAGGAGCTTCCAGAAGCAATGAGCTACTACCGCCTCACCGTTCTCGCGCCCACAGACGAGGCCTGTCGCCAAATAACACTGCTCCCCCCTCTCTTCCCCACCCTCCGCCGCATCACTCTCCTCTTTCAGGAATAGCCAAGGAGCTTCCAGAAGCAATGAGCTACTACCGCCTCACCGTTCTCGCGCCCACTGACGAGGCATTTGCGAAGCTTTCTTCGAGCGTGACCAAGGGGCTGAGCAAGGCGGCGATGCGGGATATCACGATGCTTCATATTGTAAAGGGGAGAAAGACCGCTGCTACTTTAATTCGCATGCGGAGGGAGCACGAGGTACGATATTCTGTACTCTGTTATACTCAGTATAAGCTTCTCCGAGTTGAAATTGGTAGGCTCCAATCGCTCCAAGCTCCCCGAGAGCGTGACCAAGGGGCTGAGCAAGGCGGCGATGCGGGACATCACGATGCTGCATACTGTGAAGGGGAGGAAGACGGCTGCTACCCTCATTCGCATGCAGAGGGAGCACGAGGTGAGTGCTATAGAAAGCTTCTCCGCATTGCAATGTGTACTGCTAACCTTCTACAAGCCACATTGTGAAGGGGAGGAAGGATGCCGCTACCCTGATTCGCATGCAGAGGGAGCACGAGGTAAGTAGAGAGACGTTGCACCCTCGTTCTCCCTTGCACTGCTGAAGGGGCTGGGCAAGGCGGCGATGCGGGATATCACGATGCTGCACACCGTGGTGGTTTTTGAGAATTCTAAAAAACCAGCTCGATGCTGCACATCGTGAAGGGCAGGAAGACCGCATCCGCACATGCAGATCGTATCCTGAGCTCCTGGATATCCCGTGCAGCATATGTCAGTGTGAATATGTCACAAGACCAGTTGGCACATTGTGAAGGGAAGGAAGACCGTAACCGCACATGCAGGCAGCACGAGGTACGATGTTCTGTACTCTTTATAAGCTGCTCTTTACTAGTCAGGCAGTGTATGTCTTGCCCGCCCTCCCCCTCTCCTCTCCCTTTTCCTTCCCTCTCCCCTCCCAGTGGCGCACTCTCTAATACCGGAGAAGCAGGGTCGGTCAAACCAGTCAATTTGTGTGTGACTTTCCCTCTCTTCCCCTCTCTTTCCCTCTCCTCCCCTCTCTTTCCATCCCCTCTTCCCTCCTCTCCCTTTTCCTCCCCTCTCCCCTCCCAGTGGCGAACGCCCTCCAAGGCCAGAGAAGCAGGTCTCTTCAAAGCCACAGAAACGAAAGTCAAGCCGGTCAACTCGGTGAAGCCAGTCAAGCTGTGTATGTGGTTCCCTCCCTTCCCCCTTCTCCCCTCTCCAGTGGCGACGTCCTTCCAAGAACGGAGAAGCGGGTCTCTTCAAAGCCACAGAAACGAAAGTCAAGCCAGTCAACTCGGTCAAGCCAGTCAACCAAGTCAACCTGTGTGTGCGTTTCCCTCTCTTCCCCTCCCTCTCACCTCCCAGTGGCGAACTCCCTCCAGGAACGGAGAGGCAGGGCTTTTCAAAGCCACAGAAACGAAAGTCAAGCCGGTCAACTCAGTCAAGCCAGTCAAGCTGTGTATGTGGTTCCCTCCCTTCCCTTTTCTCCCCTCTCCAGTGGCGAACGCCCTCCAAGAACGGAGAGGCAAGTCTCTTCAAAGTCACGGAAGCAAAAGTCAACCCAGTCAAACTAGTCTTACGCTTCCCTCCCCTCCCTTTTATCCTTCCCTTCCCTCTCCCTTCCAGTGGCGAACTCCCTCCAAGAACGGAGAAGCAGGTCTCTTCAAAGCCACAGAAGCAAAAGTCAAGCCGGTCAAACTACATGCAGAGGGCGGCAAGAATGTGACTATAACGAAGCCGGATTCGGTGCTGCTGACGATCTCTGCCGTCCACGGCATCGACAAGGTGATCATTCCGGGCGGCAAGCTGACCGGGGCGAAAAAGAAGCTGTCGCTGAAGGAGTGTTTGGATCTGAGCAATGGGGAGGAGGACTTGGATTATGACAACTAGATCATGGGTGGGGGGGGTGAGGAAGAGGAGTCCGATCTCGACGCGCCTTGGAAAGGAAACTGCCGCTGAAGGAGTGTTTGGATCTGAGCAATGGAGAGGAGGACATGGATTATGACAAGTAAGCAAAGGGGAGGACGGAGATGAGGAGGGAAGTTCGAGTTGCCTGAAGGGAAGCAGTGTTTGGGTGTGAGCAATGGAGAGGAGGACATGGATTATGACAAGTAGATGTTGGGTGGGGGGGTTGAAGAGGCTGACCTTGAGGCGCCGTGGAAAAGAAGCTGTTGCTGAAGCAGTGTTTGGATGTGAGCAATGGAGGAGGAAGACTTGGATTATGACAAGTAGACCGCCGCTGAAGAACGTACCGTCTGTACGCGCACCGGGGCAGAAAAGAAGCTGTCTGTCCCTGAAGCAGTGTTTGGTTTGGATGTGAGCAACGGAGAGGAGGACTTGGATTATGACAACTAGGCTGTTGGGGGGGAGAATGAGGAGTCTGACATTCAGACATGTCTCAGTGAGCTGCGTGCGTGCAGTAGGCTTAAAGCACAGCCTACTCGGTTGACTCGAACAAAAATCGATTTTGACAACTCGGTTGTTGGTGGGGAGAATGAGGAGTCTGAAATTGAGGCGCTATGGAAAAGAAGCTGCTGCTGGAGTGCTTGGATCTAAGCAATGGAGAGGAAGATGAGGATTATTACAAACAAAACAGGAGGAGACTACCGTATTGCTGAGGCGCCTAAAAGGAGGGGATGTTTGGATACGAGCAACCAGTGAAGTGGCTGCGGTTCTTCTGCACGGTTGCTGTTCAGTGCGAAGGTGACTATAAATATATTTTTTTGCGGAAGCGTGGTAATAAATTGCGATAGAAGGATGATGGTGGTGGAGGGTATAGGCAAATCGTGTATTTCACAAGGCTCGGGGCTGCGTTGTTTTCCATCTATATGCAATGCTACCGGTTTTCATAAAAAAACAAGAAATGAGCAATATGAAATGAACTCCTACAAATGAGCGTCCACACAAGAGCTATACCTTCCAGACGACACTCTCCCACCAACTTGGGCCACCTATATTCGCCTGGCTACTGCTAGACTCTTCTTTACAAACTCTGCTCACGTCGCCTTTTACCATAACTCCCTGTCAAGATATGTTGCTAGGGTTTAGCCTTAGGAGCCATGCTAGGAGGTAGAGTGTGAGGGAGTTGGCAATGAAAGAGGACTTCACTATAGAGCTAAGGGTACAAATATGATAGGAAAGGGGGTAATCCACCAAACAGAATGTGATAACTACACTACTGCTATATCTACATGCAGTTACAATAATATAACTCTGACATCCCCCCTTAACTGCATGCAGGAATAGCAAAGCATAAATCACAACCCGGAAGTGTACTGAAAGCATTAGCACGCAAGAGCAATGACAACCAGTGCAGCAGTGGCAGAAACAACAGCAGAAACCCCTTAGCCAATACAGAAACGAAAGAAAGGTGCATGTGGCGCAGGTCGCCTGGAGAGCGGCGTGCGGCGGCAACAAGCGGCGGCACAGCAGGCTCAACGGCAGCACCTGCCGCTCAACAGCAGCAAACGAAAGAGACGAATTAAGTGGCAACAGGGGCTGCAGCTGGAGGTGCCACAGGAGCAGGGGGTGGCAGTTGCAAATGCAGGGCTGCTGCTTCTGCCACTCTCTCTCATACCCTCCTTTATCCCCCCTTACCCTCTCTCCCCCCCCCCTCCCCTCAGCAACAATTGCTGCAGGGAGAGAGGAAGAGGGAAGGGAGGGAGGAGCGGCAGGCTCCTCACACCCGCCCCCTCCCCCCAACCCCCCCCCCACGACGGAAGGGAAGGGCGGAATCACCCACTGCCGGCGCTGGCGGTCGCGTTGGCGCTAGCGCTGGCGGCCGTCGCAGCTGCTGGCGGTGGCGCTGGCGGTCCGCGCAGGCGCTGGCGCTCGCGGCTGGCTGCAGCGTTGGCGCTCGCGGCTGGCCGTGGCGCTGGCGTCCGCGCTGGCGAAGGCGGATCACGGGGCGACGGGGGGAGCGTGACGGACGAAAAGGGCGCACGGGCGCGACGCGAAACGAAGGGCCTGCAGAAAGCGAAAAACGGGACCCGCGGGGTTCGTCCACGGGGCGATTCGGGGGACCCGCGGGGCGCATTACGGGCGGCACGACGGGTGGGCCCATGATCATTAAAAAAAAATAGGTCCTCAGATTGGTTTGAGGGTATGCTGATGGATCAGCGTGCCCCTGCCAACCAGGTGTCCAAATCAGCGTTGGTGGTTTTCAATATACTGATCCTGTCAGGGTAAAATTTTCCACTGTACTGATCCTTCAGTGTAAAAAAGTCCAAAATAAATATACCTAACCTAACCTACCTAACTAGTACTACTAGAGAACTAGCTCATGTCATCATCTGAAGAAGAAACGCTACTGCTACTGCTGCCATCATCATCACTCTCACTCAGGGCCTCAGATATCAGGAAAAAAACCCTGAAATTCCTGATTTTGGCAGTCGTTTTTTTACCTACACTGAAAAATCAGTGTTGGGATTTTTGTGGGACTGATCTTTTAGCCTTTTTTGTTAGGCCACACTGAAATTTCAGACTTTTTTTCCCAAGTACACTGATTCCACAACGTTGTAATGAAACTACCACTGAATGCAATTCTGACTTGTTCCGTGTGAATTTGCCCGCAATTACCGGGAATCTCAGATTCCTGCGGTGCCAGCACTCCATTGGGCAGTTTCGCTGCAGCATAAGCGTTGGCTAATCAGAATGTGGCAACCATGTGGTGCTGGAGGGCTGCGAGGGTTCCTGCACCGTTGACTGTGCTGGCGAGCTCTGATGGTCCCGTTCCCTCCAATCTAATCTCTCTTGTTTCTTTTCCTCCTGTTTCTCTCTCCCTCCCTCTCAGCCAGATTCCTCTCGTGCTTTCTCGTCTGCACTATTACATGGCGCCACCAGCACCAGAAACGGCGGGCTGTCTGGAATCGAACCCATCGCGAGCGCCGCCGAACCTCCTCTAGTCTCGCCGAACACATCGCTCCCGTTCGACGCGATCCGCAGCGCATGCGTCGTCGAATCGTAGCGGGCCTGCGAGATGCCCGTCGGCGTCGCAGGCCCGCTACGACTCGACGACGCGTGGTTTTTCGTGCTAATGGCGACGACCGAAGGCTGCCTCGTCGCCAGCACGAACCGCGGTTGAAAGGCCATCTGCGTCGCGGGCGGCGCGCATAGCGTCGTGCTGCGCGACGGCATGACCCGCGCATGACCCGCGCGCCCACCGTCCATTCCCCCGCTCCCTTTACCCCGCACTCCGTCCACTCCCTGTCTCCCCCGGTCGTTCCCCCCCCAACCATGCCAGTCTTCCCTCCTCTCTCCCTCCGATTCTCTCTTTCCCTGCCTCACCCTGCCTGTCAATCAGGTTCCTCCCCCAAACCCTGCCCCTGCAGCTTCAACGTGTATGTGTCGCAAGCAGAAGTGAAGATGGGGTGTGTGCTGCAGCAGAGCACTGTCACGTACTGGTGTCCCAAGCTGAGGATGAGAGAGAAAAACCAAAGGCTAAGGGCAGTGATGATAGCACGGCTGGTGATGATTCATGAGGCATGTTAGCTTAGCAATGTTTCGGAAGGCCGCTACTGACCTATTAATTAAAATAGAGATTTCTAGTAATAACAGCCTTTTATATTATTGAACACTGATGCATCAGCCTTTTTTCAAAGGCAACACTGATATTTCAGGCTTTTTTTGTTAGGAACACTGTCAATCAGGGTTTCTACATAGGGGTACCCTGATGGGTCGACGACCCTAAAAGTGAATCTGAGGCCCTGCTCTCACTGTCATCGCCTGCAGAACCACTCATGCCCTCATCTAGCTCCTCCTCCACCTGCACCAGCCGGCGGCCACTCCCCTTAACAAACTTGGCCTTGGCCCGCTCCTTCTCTGGCGCAGCTTGCTCCTTGCGCTTGCTGGGGCACCTGTTCCTGGTACTCCGCCAGATGTCCACCAACTTGTCCCAGTCCATGTCGTAGTCGAGCAGCGACATCGCCATCAAATCTCCCAGCTTGGCGTTGCAGAGACTCGTCCGGCGCCACGACTTTATCACATTCTGGCGGGAAAACCCGCGCTCGCACTCGACTATGCCGAGCGGCAGTACAGCGACGGCAGCCCACAAACGGACTAGGTTGGGGTAGCTGGTTTGCCAGTCGCTGGTCTGCAAAATGGCCTTCAAGCCTGCGTGAAAGGGCTGCTCTTCCTTGGGCGCAGTGGAGAGCACCGGCAGGAACGTGCGCAGCTCCGCTCGAGCTGCACGCTTCTGGACACCTGCCAAACAGGAGAGCACAACCGGGTAGAAAGTCAAGCTCTCAACATGGCAATAACGCAACCACGGAAACGGCTACGCATACACGCAGAGCATAGGGGTTCCGTCTCTAGCTCACCTGGCAAGATCGTGTCCCGGTTCTTGGCCTGGAACAGATGGACGAGGCCGTGCAGGTGCTCCTTGCACTCGGCGTCTCTAGCCTCGGCGCCCCTCGGCCACGAGCGGGGCATGAAGAGCTTCGCCCCGTTCAAGCGCGTCAGGTCTCCCAAGCGCAGCTCGAGGTTGTACACCAGCTCGCGGGCGAAGGAGCGGCAGCAGGTGTAGCAGCCTTGCATGTCCCCGCTGCTGGTGGTGTATCCCTTCACGGCCTCCTCGTGCAGGTCGAACTTGTGTACCCGGGCCTCACCATCCTTGTCCACCCCCTCCACAGTCACTTCACGACAGTCCGGGGAGGCGTGCCGCGCGAGGAATGCAGACAGCAGCTCGCTGGTCCCACCGCCAAACTGCTGGCCACAGTGCAGGTACCGCTGCTCCATGTAAATGATGGTCCGCCTCACCTGGGAGTGCACTGCAGTGAGGTCAACCTGTTGGTAGGGGGAGAGTAGGTACACCGAAACAAAAGATAAGTAACTGGGTTTAGAAGATGAGAAAAGCACTACGTAACTCAACACCTCACCTGACGCTTCTGGAA